CCCAAATCTGATTGCAATCCCTTTTGACTTCTCTCTCTCCTCCTTTCCAGCTTTTCTTTTAGTATAAAACTTATTCTTTCTCTAAAGCTATTGCCCATTGTCCCCTTGCAAATGATGAAACATTGTTTTAAGGTATAATCCTAGGCTCCAATTGACTCAGGAAATGCCACTCAAATGCAATCCATTGTTACCAAAAGGTGTGGTAACAAGTAGAAATAAAATGCTATTAAGTGGGGGTGAAAACTGGGCCAAAACAAACATCCAGAGCCAGCATCAATTGTCCGATCAGTTGGATAGGCTACACTTGCCCAATGGAGCTCAAATTTGGATATGTTGTAGTTAACATCCATTGGAACAAGTCTTATGAAGATCATCACCTTATCCAAGGACCGGAACATGCTGATCCAAGGCCACGAAGTTGACCTACGAAAATGAACAAAAACAGAATTTATATCAAATAATGCACTTTTAGCTCATTTTCATACAAACCAAGGTAAAACCTATTAAAACACAAAAAAGAAGTAAAAAGCTATAAAATGTCAAGAACTAACTCAAAATAGTGGGAGAATAACATGAAAAATCATGTGTAAAAATGAACTGAACAGTCACTTCCCACCTTCCCTCATGCATTAAATGCTACTTTGTGGCCAATGGGTTTTGCTGCATTAAACAGGCACTACTTCATTAAATGAAGCCTGGGACCCTGCTGTCACGTGATGATTTGCCTTTAATGCCTTGGCCGCAAATTTGTTCGGCCTCGGCCTCGGCCTATGCTTGAGGCCGAGATGATCATGCCTTAGCATTTCCTTCTTTCATTTTTAAGAAGGCGAAGTACCCTGGCGAAACGCTGCGTTTCAGTCTCTGCAAACAAGTGCCAGGGCCGAGAGAAAGGGCTCCTTCGGCCAGCTCATGGCCGAGATTTATCAGGCACAAACAAATGGCTATGAATGACATGAAATAGGCTCTTTAGCTTTAATGGTTTTGTCTTCTTTTCTCCCTCTTTACTTCTCTTTATAACCACAATAATCACACAATCAATTCTTCAATAAAATCCGCCAACAATTCTCTTCACACTTTGCTTGAACTTGGACAAATATATATCTTCATCTTTTGGCTTTCCAACTTCCTACAAAAGATAAATTCACCTAAGAAGTTTACCAAATTTAATACAGAAAATTTATAAATCCAATTGGTGAGAATGAAAGGTAACGGCAAGTGAAATTATCTTTATTAAGCCAAATTTATATCATAAAGTCTCCAAAATTATATTAAAAAGATGTAATTTGAAACTCTCATCACCAAGCAAGGGGACTCCCAGCTAGATTTGAAAAGATAGTGAAACAACATTGTAGTGTTCAAGAGAAACAATGAAAAAAATATGCACAACACAAACCATTTTCCATATAAATATAGGATCCAAAAACAGTTAGCATGCTCACACAACTTTGGCAAACATTTTCCGGGTACCCATAATATGCTTGTCTGACAACCGATCCTTAAAGGCCAACTACCCCTACCAGAAATAAAAATATATCCAACTTACCTAGTACAGTAGCGAGAGTGTCCATTTACTGGCTACGCTACTTCGACTAAACCTCACACTTAGGGTATTGGAAAAGTCGGTATGCACAGCCCCTTCGAAGGTTTAGGGATCGAAACTTAAGGGAGCCGCTATACCCCATTTACCATCAGGTCGTCGAGGATAATACCCGCATGTGTATACCCTCCAAAACTTTGGAAATTCAAAGCCAAGCATCAATAAAACCAAACAATATGGTATCCAAAAACAGTGCGTCTTTCACATACAATAATATTTACTATGTCATATATACACACACAAATACAAGTTTGGGAGTGAGTCCCCCTACCTGGAATTCAAAGCTCAAACTTGACTTTCCATCTGCATTTTTGAACTCAAATTGGCCACTCTTAAGCAACTGAATCACAATCCAACATTCAGAAATAATACAAAAAATTCTTAATTGCACTTTAGTCTTTTTTCTTGTCTTTAATTGCACTTTGGTCCTTAAACTTAATCCAAATGACAACTTTGTCCTTATAAGTCCTTAGAGTTCCAAGTAATTGTAAAATAGTCCTTGTACTTTTTGAAAAGTCCAAAAATGTCCCAATAGTCTTGTAGTTCCTTCTCTGGTTCGAAAACAGTAAAATTCACAATACGGTAAAGTTAAAGTCTAAATAGTACTTTGTTGTTCATACATATGGACTAGAAGAATATGCATAATTTGGTTCAGGAATTATAGAAGGAAAATGATCATAATATTATCTAGTTTGTCTAGATTTCAAACGGACGGAGTAACGGCGTATGAAGTATATTTTAGGAATAACTTGAAAATTACCCAATTAGGAAATAATGTGTTGCATATCTGAAAATTATAAATTGGGCAAAGTAACACTTAGGAAATAGAAATATGAAATTAAAACGAATAGAATACGAGGTAGAGAGTAGAGATTACCTTGGCGAGTGTAACAATGAATAATGAAATTCGACGAATGTCGGAATAGTAACAGTAAATGCATGAATAAGGAACGGCTTATACTACATACAGGAAGTGAATAGTAAATTTTGGGTAAATAGTATCTGGGATGAATAGTGCTTGATAAATGGTAACTACGAAGAATGTCGGAATAGTAACTCTAATGGAGGAGAAGCAGAGCAAGTGTGGGAGGAAGAGAAAATTTGAATTTTGGTGTGAAGAAAATGAGAGATGGTGGATATTTATAGAAATCCTTGACGGTTCAGATCGATTCGAATATTTAATTCGAAGGACGAGATTAAAAGATGAGTTTTTGATAAGGTGTAGGGAGGTACATTATAGCTTTAAGATGGATGGTCCAGATGCATTCCCAACAACCAAACGAAACACCAAGATCAAGTCAAAAGTCTTTGATTTTGATCTACAGTCCATATCTAATCAAGAATCAGATCAATGGCTTAGATGAGACTAGCTCAAGGAATAGTACTCTACACCCTAGTCAACCTATGAGTCAAAGTATTCCAAGTCTGCCAACCAATCAGGTGTTGACATGTGGCACGGTGATGTGTTCACTAAAAATACGTCCAAGCTCCGAAAAATTATTCGTAAAATACCACAAGCTTGTATCAACGTCTAATATTTTCCTATGAAGTTAAAACACCAAAATTCTAACTTCATATTTTCATAAGTAAGTTATTCTCAAACATAATGACAATATTTACTTGGGAAAAAAGCCACTTACCTCAAAATGGACCGTGCGATTTTTATTGTGCGCGTAAAAATATTCTGGAAATTTTCAAGGTGTCACAGATAGAGATGAGACAAGTAAAGTATTAGACAATGAGAGAGATGATGAGATTGCAACAGTGCCAGCCCATGTCACATGATAAGTAACTCCTTTGGCATTAGAAATATAAGTTCGTTCGGGTTGGGTAGTATTCAGAAAATCATCAAGATCAAATGTCATATGATCAGCTGTACCAAAATCAATTATTTAGCCTGTGTAATCACTCTTATCGGAAATTTGGAATCCATAACCAATACCATTATTGGTAGTATCGCGTTGTATTATATCCTTGAGAGGAGCCCATCATTTGAAACAAGTCTCACGAGTGTGTCTCGGATAGCCACTGTATGTGCAATCTCGTCCATGTGTCTGGGTCGTTGGTTGGGAAGTTGTAATATGTGCAGTGGAAGATGCATAGGATATAGGTTGAGTAGGAAGAATTATCATAATTTGAGCCGGAGTCGGGGTCTGAGTCTAAGTTGGGTACGGTATCTAGGTCAAAATCTAAGGCGGATTCAGGTTATGGGTCTTTTTGGAAATCAATTCTTCAAAGATTGGGGTCAAAACCAAGGTCTTGGTCGGATCCTGAGTCAGGACCGTGTTCTGTACCTTTAGGAACTGAGCCATCTGAGCACTTAATTCGGCTAGGCTCAGGTGAAAAACAGAGGTAGGGTCAATGGTGCTGCCTCTACAAGGAATGAAAAAAATCATCCTCCCTTATGGCGACAAGGGTTTAAAATTGAAGTAATCAATCCCAAGATCGCTACTCTGATACCATGCTAAAATATGAGAAGCTATGAGATAATATTTGTTTATGAGAAGCTTTGAATGCGGTTTGACTCGTGGCGTCGTTCCCTTTCCGAAATGGTATTTTGCATCCTAATCGGAGCTCGGACGACAAATCTGCAAATTCCCGTTACATCCTTTTTCTAGCTCAACCGCGATAAAATCTGCCATTTGTTCTACATCAGAATATGTATTAAAAATATTTGCAAATGAAAACAAAGTTTAATTAAAAACAAACCTTATTTTATTGCAAACAACACACAAATAAAGCATAATTAAGAACAAAACATAATTAAAAACAAAACATAATTCCAAACACACCACACACAAAATAAAGCAATCTTAAAATCAAAGCATTAATCTTGTCTTCATCCATTGTGATTGCCTTTCATCTCCCACAAGTGCTCGATCAAGTCAATTTGACGCCTCTCATGAACATACGAAGATTGCATTTCCTGGTAACGATCAATCATGGGGTTGTTGAATCGACCATCTCGAACTAATGGTTCATGCTCCAATGGATGTCCATTTGGTCCCATCGGCCTTTCATAAATTCTTGTCAATGACGTGTTCATGGGATCCGGTTCAAACTCCTCTGTAGCTTCATAATCATACTCATCCTCCACAATCATGTTATGGAGGATGATGCAAGTCATCATAATGCTCCGCAGCACCTCCTCATCTAACATCCGAGCAGCGCCCCTAATAATAGCCCAACGAGCTTGCAAGATACCGAAACACCTTTCCACGTCTTTCCTATAACCTTCTTGAAAGGCAGCAAAGCTTTTTTCCTTCTGGGATTGAGGATTCGGAATTGTTTTCACGAATGTCGTCCACCTAGGATAAATTCCGTCGGCAAGGTAGTACGCACCAGAGTATACAGTGTTGTTGATTTCGTACGTGATCTGGGGGGAATGACCTCGCAATACATCGTTGAATACTGGGAATTGACCAAGCATATTGAGGTCATTCTGAGATCCGGCAACTCCGAAGAATGCATGCCAAACCCAAGTGTCGAATGAAGCTACGGCCTCCAGAATTATACTTTTTTGGCCCTTTCGATTCCCATAGTCTCTTTGCCAGGCAGTTGGGCAATTCTTCCATTGCCAGTGCATGCAATCGATACTTCCAATCATTCCTGGGAAACCTCGAGTATCAGCTTTTTTTAGAAGCCTTTGTAGGTCCGCAGGAGAAGGTCTGCGAAGGTACTCCCTCGTGTAGAGATTTTCTACGGCATCACAAAATCTCATCAAGCATTCTAGGATAGTTGATTTTCCCATCCTTGCAATCTCATCCACCTGTTCTGCAGATGCCCCATAAGCAAGCATTCGCAAAGCAGCTGTAAGTTTTTGCTCTGGGAGAAGACCCAAAACTCCACAAGCATCATACTTCTGAATGAAGTATGTGTCGTAATTACAAATATCATGCATGATTTTTTGGACAAATGTGGCTGCATTCTATATCTCTCTCGAAACTTAGAAACAGGATATAAGGAATTTGGGATAAAGTAATCTTCCATGAGATTCTTACCACGAGACTGCCTACGTCTATCCACATTCTGGGCACGACGACGGTGGTGTTGCCTTGATTCATTAAGCATAGCAAAGCCTACAAGCATTTCCTCCTCTTCTTCATCGGCCTCCCGATCTTCCTCAGCACGTCTCCTCCGGATTTCTTCCTCTTCTCTCTCTTGCATCTCCAACACCCTCCTCAAGTTTGACATTGAGAGTAAAATATGTTTTGTAAAATCTGAGAATTGAAGGAATAGATAAGATGTGGTGTGAGATGTATGAGTTGATGGTGTAGTTTTATAGAGGGATTGAGAAGATAGAGATGACACGTGGCGCAATTTTAGAGGGTGAAAATCTTATATGAAATATGAGATTATAATTTTTTTTTTAAATATGAAAATCTTATCTGACATAGGACACGTGGCGCAATTTTAGAGGGTGAAAATCTTATCTGAAATCTGAGATTATAATTTTTTAAAAAAATATGAAAATCTTATCTGACATGGACATGTGGCAACCAAATATCTTATCCGAAAATTTTGTTCGAAAATGTTATCTGAAATTTGAGGTGATAATTTTATAATAAATAGTGACACGTGGCAACCGAAAATATTATCTTAAAAGCTTATCAAAATTAAGGGTAAGTATAAAAAAATAGAAAATAAAGTACAATGAATAGTATTTGCCCGGGCAAGCCTTCCAAGGGTGGAACCAACTAAGGCAAGGCAGGCACTATTCACATGAATAGTACCAGCCCTTGCCTTGCCTTAGCCTTGCCTTAGCCTTGCCTTAGCCTACATGGGTGGAGATGTTCTAAAACATCTATTTGGGACCAACGAAATAGACGGACACGGTGCTTCAAGAAAAAACTATAATAACAACCACTTAATTGAGTGGTGAAATGGTTTGGGATTCAAGTGATTTTTTTTAGCAATGATCTTTGAGGGAATATCTAAAAACTAGATGGTCCAGATTATTGAAATACAATGCGTAATGGGGCCTACAAAGGTGTCTCTATTTGAGGGATCACTCAAGTAAAGCTCTTTGGTTGGAGAAAGTAATAGAAGTAGTAAGAAAGTGATGCAACACGTGTTTATACTTCCTGCGCACTGATATACAATGACATAAACTTGAGTAAGTGGCACAACAAATGAGGGATAACTACCTTCAAAACTTACCTTTTGAATTTTTTATTATAAAAATAATCAAGTAATATGTTAGGCTACATTGATGCAAAGTTCTAAATATAATACTTGAGTCAAAGAGAAATATGTTAGGCTGCATGTAATACATAGGTTTAGATACAACACAAAGTTACTCTCCCTTCAATATTTTTTAATCTTGTATCGAGTTAAAACACACAATTACTAATATCTTACAATACCTCGACTTTATTTAGCTATAAGAAGAGTAAACTTTCATCTTTCTCCACTTCTTAACCATGGAAATTAGGGTTAGCTATAAGGAGAGTAAACTTTCATCTTTCACCATGTCTTAACCATAGAAATTAGGGAAGCCTGAGATTTGGAGAAAATACAAAGTGATAAGCAAATTTATTAAAATGGTGAAGGATAATTAAACTACCATAAATGCAACTGCGCATCAAGATATGTTGGTGGAGATGTTTTAAGTTGTATATTGCTATTTTAGTTTAGAGAGCGTGGAATACATTTTCTCCCATATGTTTTCAATAGCACTATATTGGGATCCCATAATTGAAGCTTTCTGTATTTTCAATAGAGAAATAGGGGCAAGTTAATTATTATTACTTTTATATAAAATGGTTTAAAATAGTTTTATTTGGACCTAATTGCAACGCAACAATGCTGACGTTAATTCAAATAAACCATCTATTATTTTCTATAAAAACATATTTTTTTTAAATGTGAAATTTTAGTGAAAGTCACTAACTTCTTTCAATTTAAATAAACACAAAAATGAAATAGCCCAAAGACACAAAAATGAAACTTCCAAATAAACTTGCCCTACAAACCCATAAAACATCTTCAATCGAAGCAGGCCCAAGACTTGGGAGGGCAAGTGGTAAAGAGGTGAAAACGGTTAGGCCCAAATGAGCACTTATAACATATTACTGCAAATATTGAAGCAGATAGGAAAAATAAAAAATCATTTGGTAGAGTTAAAAATGAAACCCATAATCAAGAAATAAATCTAAACAAACCAACGGGCCTTAGCCCAGTGGAAAAGAGCATTAATTTGAACACCAGAAGTCTCAGATACGATCATAATTGTGTGTGTGAGAAATCCCTGATCATAATTAATTTTTTTGGGCCTTATCCCAGTGAAAAAAAGCATTGATTTGCACACCAGAAGTCTAGCTTGTACTCAAACTTAAAAAGCAAAGAGATATAAACAATAAACTATATATATATATAAATAGCAAATATCTGGCAAAGAAAAGCAAAAGTAGCTAGCTCACCCCAGTTTGAGAGCTAAGGTGACGTCGGAGCAGTCATCTTCAAGAGATAGACTGAGACCACTGCTGCAGCTGCTGATGGTTGCATTTGTGGCAGATTCAGATGACATGCCTTCTTCTTCTCCTCCACCTCCAATATTATTAATCAACCTCTCCGGCTCCATAAGCGCAGGTCCAATATTTCCTCTGGATAACATCTGCTATGCAAAAAAATACGAAGTAAAAAGAAAGAAAGAAAGAAGAAAGAAGAAATATGTACATGATTGTGGTAGTTGCTTACCCTCTGCCGTAGCTGGTTGTTGGCTTCTACCAGCTCAGCTTCCTGAAATTATAGTCAGTGAATAGAAGAGAAAACCAGAGCCAAACTTGGTTATTATTGCTGATGTTAGAGTCTTGATTATTATAAATAGTTGAAATTTCTTTTCATTTACAGAGTATATGTACAGTATATCAATCGTCTAACCTTTCTTTCAAGTGCCATAATCTCACTCATATTCAGTTCTTCCTGAAAAGGAATGGAATATTTGCGTTTACATCTCATAGCTTATTTGCATATATGTAACCAAAACTGCATACACCTATAGTTTTCAGAAAATAAACCAGCTATAATAGCAACTCAAACCTCAGTGACAACCCAGAATACACCTACGCTTTTCAATAAAAAGAACAATTATATACCCTGTTTGCACAAAGGAGTTTTTCAAACAAAGGACAATTGTGGGACATACTTTATATTGTTCCAACGGTTCATTATTTAGGTTTTCATTCAAGAATCATCGAGAGAAAAACAAAAACAATATCAGAGACCATTTCATTAAATGGTAAGGATTTGAGTGTTTGTTTGAGACCTTGTGTTGTTTATATATTGGAACACAAATTCAATGTCTTAAACCAATTAACTAACTTTCTCCAACGGTTTCGATCGATCATTAAACCACAATACAGAGTAATTAATGCCTTCCCACCATGCTTACTAGAAAAGAAATTAGCTAGGTCAGACCTCAGTTTCAATCGCACGGCCAAGGCTTGCGTCCACCAGTTGTTCTAACTTATGCAACTCATCAAAATTCAGCTCTTCAAGATCCTCTCCTTTCATCTGCCTGTTGCAAGCCAGTCCAATTTCAGCAGATACATCAAACGATATAATACCAGCTAAACAGCCAAATATATCTTACAAATTATTACCTCAGCTGGCGGCTCTTCGCCTCAAGTTCCTTGGTCAATCTGATGTGGTTTTCAATTTCTAGCTAAAATGAGAAATGGAACCATCATTTAGGTAATCTAATCTGTCTATCACATGAAAAGCTTATAAAAAATGGATTACAATTTTTTTAATTTTGAAAATGGAATCAAATTAATTACTTAAACATGCAAGAACATAAGCCTCAAATCAAATGCAACCAACAAAGTGGGAGTTTGTCACCGCCTAGAGGTTTGGGGCACCCTTTGTGGAGAGATTAAACAAGTTTCAAGGTTAGGATCTCAGCAACACTGAGAGAGACACACAACATGTGATGTAGGGCATACTTGTTAAATTTGCATTCCAAATATAGTAGTAAAATCGTGTACTACATTTATGAAAGAAAATCACTGATGTCAATGTGGTACTCTAGACAATAGTTTACCAGGTGCAGGAAACATATTCCACATCGTTCTCAAACTCCCTCAGAAAGCTTACGGATTTAATACCAGCCAATACAATTTGCAAGAATTTGAGATAAGGTCAAATTCTGGCCTTTTATTATGATCTTGAGACTTGTATATGACTGTTCTTTTCCTTTTTCACTTTTTCAAACCAAAAGGTTTTACAATCAGAACCTCAGATGATATGGAGACACATTTTGAAGCTCCAAAGTGCAGATCACAGAATTTGTTACAATTAATTGCAGAACAATTAAAGTGGGGAAATGGAAAAGGTAAACCATTGAACTCATTTACCTGAAGCTCAACAGACAGTTCGTCCGATTTTTCGACACTATTTGTGTGCGCTTTGTACCTTTCAACAACATCCTTTGTACTTCACAACACAAAAGGAATAAACAACCAATTGGCATGTTCACCAGTTTAAGTTAGTAGACATAGAAGATCAAATTAATACATGGGACAAAGCATACATGAGAAACAAAAAAAAAGGGAAAATAATTAACCCCTTGTGAAAAATTTATGGTTTGCAAACACAAAGACACACTTTTGTTTATTTTCTTTTGTATATACTATTGTACGGTATGCTTCCTTTTAGAAAACACTATTTCAGCTGACATTAGTTAGCCTAGTTGGTCAGGGCAGTGAGCTGAGCCCACCCACCTTGCACCCAAGTTCGAATCCCTCTCCCCGTAAATTAGATTAATTTAGAGTAATTTAGACTATCGCTTGTATTAAAATAAAATCACTATTTAAAGAAGAGCCCAATTTTAAAGAGTATTAAGGGCTTTAACAATCTGTAATATTTTCATACTAAAATTCTCTACCTTCTCTCACCGACAAGACTTCAATGCTAAGCCATAAAGCTTGGGATGACACCTTGCTTTTGATTGAATTCCTTAATATCTATTTTATAGAATTATTATATATAAGACCAAAGCAGCTGAGGTATTTTAGAACACAAGGCAAACCGACCTGAGACCATATCAAGTCAAATAATAATGAGTGGGCCTCAAAAATGTTAGTCACAGTTCCTCTCACATCAACTATGGGCCTCATTGCAATATGCTTTGAATCTTGTTAGTGGAAGCGGCTAAGGTTCTTAAGAATGTTGGTTCATGGGAAAGGAGGCTTGGGAATGGAAATTCAATTGCTTTCCCATATTTGGTAAGTCCAGGCATGAGAAATGGATGCCTTGCACATGGGAAAGTAGAGGGGAAAGTGATGCCCTCCTCTTAACTTGGGTTTTGTTTTCCCTCCTCATGGGAAAGTTTGGGGAAATGAGCCAACATTCAATACACAATTTTCATGACTATTTTTTCCCTATGAACAATTTATAATTACAATGTATCATTAAATGCATTCTTTTTTTATTTGATTTAATATGGATATAATTGGAAAAGTATACAAACTTTGTTTTCCATTCCTACTCAAAACAAACATGGGAAAGGAAACAAAGTGAAATCTCCCAGTTACTTTCCCAACATTACCAAACGTGGGAAAGGAATCTTTCATTCCCATTCCTTGGGAAATGACATGGGTATTGATTTCCCCTCAAATCCATTCCGTGAACCAAACGGGGCCTAAGAGTTTCAAAAATAAAAATACGAATAAAACTTAAATGGCAGACTCTAGCCCGTTAACATACTCTTGGAGATGTACTTGAGGCCAATGCTCCGACCCGATCCAATTGTACTACCAATAGGGGCCCATCGCTTGAAATGGCAGACTCTAGCATATATGTAATTTTTTTTTTAAAAAAAATTTTTAAAAATCGTTAATGGGTGAGAGGTTTTATGAGAGGTTTTATTTTTATTTTAAATTTATATATGTTTTTTTTTTTTTTGAAGACCTTTCCTATTGAGAGGGACGATAATATACTAAACTCACACACACTACATGGATGCTAGGACTCGAACCCATAACCTATCTTGGGGGAGCAATTGCTCCTAACCACTACACTAGTGGGTCTTTTGCTATATATATTGTTTAGTTTAAAAGGAATGATTTTTTTTAACAATATGCGTACCGAATTGCCCCTCTGCATGTAACAAAAATTAAGAATTGTCCTTAAATTACTTCAAATTGAAATTATATGAGCAAAAATAACCAAATTGAAACTATAAGGACCTCTGTGGTAAAAATGATAAACCACATGAACCAAAAGTTACTTTTAGCCTAAAACAGAACTATAATAATGGATGAGTTTCATGAACACATACATGAAGATTGAAACAATTTTGTATTATTGTTTAAACTTCACGTATGACTTTGGGATATAACGTTTTACTACTAATAAATCTTTTAAAATTTAGTATAATAGAACCAAGTAGAGCAATACTTTTCCCAACTTTTAAATTACAATTAAGGTTGACACCCTATTTAAAATTTGAAAATTTGGACCAATATTGCTCTACTAGGGAACTTGGAAAAGTTCGAAAAATAATGTAAATGTAAAGAAAAATCTAAGGCTAAGTTGTAAATGGTTATTGTTTTGGTTGCATATACACTCGGGGCTCGTTTAGTACACCGTATTAGCTTTGGATATGAGTAAATAGTCTACGTCAGGTTTTTTTGTCAACTTGTATTATTTAATTACCTGATTATTTTATCCAGGTTGGACTTTTAATACTCTCCTTACCTGACCAACTAATACAACTCACACATCATGGTTTAGATAATACACGCTTAATTATACAATTAGGGAAAAAAAACACACGTTCACGTGAAAAATCCGGTGACGCCATTTTCATCTTCTTCTCCCTACGGTTCTTCTCCAAGGTTATTCTCTCTCTCTCTCTCTCTCTCTCTCATTAAATCTTTATGGAAATTAGATTATGAGTTTTTCCTTTATGACCTTTTTTTTCTTACTGTATTGGAACAAAATGAGGCTTTGTATCCAACACAATAATCAAATAATCATCATGCGGTTGTGTATACATGTTGCTGAGTTTTTCTTGCATTTTTTTTTTTTTATGTATTTCATCTTCTCCAGGTATCCAACTCAATCATCAAATTATCATCCCAAGTCAGCGATTAGAACAATACATGCGGCTACATTTTTCTTGCTATATATATATATATATATTTATACTTTTGGTGTTTTGTTGGTTTGTTTTCTAGTTATTTTCGTGTTGCTAATACTGGTTGTTGATTCTCTTCATGACTGCTTTTGTTGGGCTTCAATATATTCTTTTTATCTTTCTCTTAATTATATATATGCAAATTATATTGTCTATATTGTCTATATTTCTACTTAAATTATCAAAGAATTTTTTGTACAAATATAATCATCCGGAACATGACCAAGCAAAATATAACTTAATTAGACTATTTATCCGGAATAGATTAATACTATCCGATAGAAATTAGTCAATACAGCCCGACGTACCAAACGAGTCATAACAGTGTAACCTGTACATATGCTCAAATGGAGACCTTAAAAAAAGAAGTGGACAAACTAGTAGTAGCTTTGCATATAACATGTCAATTAGGCCCAAAAACCTAGAAAAAAAAACTTTTAAATGAAAATTACAATTGAAACAAATTAGAAATTGCCTACTTGCACAAACAGTTAAAGGTCTCCTCTATGGGCGAAACTAGGAATTTTTCGAAAGGTGGGCTAGCTAAAATTTTTAGCTTAAAATCTAATGATATTTTTTAACTTACAATTTCTATATATTTTTTTTCTAGAACATTAAATCATATAATCCTAGTTCATAGCCCTATTAACTAATTTCCAATAAGTTTAGCATAAAAAATTTTACAAATTAAATGCAACAAAAGGGTTAACACGATAACAATGGGAAAACCGTCAAGAAGACCACAAAACAGACTTTGGAAAAAATAATATTTCCATATTCTTAGAAATTGTGGGGAAATTGCCAAAAAGACCACAAAACGAGGGTCCCAACCACAAGTGAGAACGACAAGTTGATGGGCTATATAGGTTTAATTTTATTTTTCTTTAAACATGGGCTACAATAGGTTAAAAAAAATATCTTCAAAAAGCTACCTAGGCTGGCCTACTGCCCAGGATAGCCTTGTAGGTAGTTTCGCCCCTGGTTTCCCCCATTTTGTAATTTTTAACTGAGACCTCCCTTTGTATCAAAGCATTTTTTATTATCAAAACAGGCCATTAGTACGTGTTTGCCACTTATAGTTTTGCTTCCTTTGTCTTTTAATAATTTTCTTCTTAATTTGCATTTGCATTTTCAAATTGTAGTTCAAGATATGCGTGCCTCCTTTTATTCTCTTTCCTTAATTATACGTATGTTTAAGGCCCTGTTTGGTTCACGGAACGAATTTGAGGGAAAATCATTTACCATGTTATTTCCCAAGGGATGGGAAATGGAAGATACATTTCCCATGTTTGGTAATGTTGGGAAAGTAACCAGGAGATATCACTTTATTTCATTTCCCATGTTTGTATTGAGTACGAATGGAAAACAAAGTTTGTATAAATTTTCAATTATACCCATATTAAATCAAATAAAAAAAGAATGCATTTAATGATATATTGTAATTCTAAATTGTTAATGGAAACAAAATGGTCATGAAAAATGTTTATTTAATATTGGCTCATTTTCCCAAACTTTCCCATGAGAAGGGAAAATAAAACCCAAGTTGGGGGGATGGCTTCACTTTCCCCCATACTTTCCCATGGGCCTGGACTTACCAAATCTCATTTCCCATGAACCAAACAAGGCCTAATAGTAACGTAAGAGACAATCTTAAGGCAACCCAATATACTACTCCCTCTTCCCCTCCCTAACGAAAAGAACAAAAAAAAGTAAAGTAAGAACATCTAAATAACGGAATTCACTCTCTAACAAATAGATGTCTTTTAGATAATAACTTTTTTATAAATAAAAAACATCGTTAATTCCACACCATGGACAACTTAAAAGACCATCGACATATAGAGAGCATCTTTTTATGCAGTGTAGTTTGGGTTAAAGAAGACCACCTTAGTAGAGGTGATATTTCTAGTTTTTTATTTTTAAACATTTTTTAATACAAATTATCAGTGCTTACTTTGTGCAATTATATTTCGTAAACTGAAAGGAAGCATGACCATATTTAAATTCTTATTCCATAGTTAAAATTTCATTCTCACCCTCCTCCCCCTTTTTCCTTCCTCTCATGCATGCATTCATGGCAAAAACATGTTATGGCCATAGCTCCACCACCCACTGCCCTACTTGGGGAGAACTACTTGAGAGCATGGAATCATATTCCTGCTGAAAGTCTTCAAGGCTTCCATGATGAATTCCCAAAGTCATCATCATATCACTTTATTCCTAAGTAAGAAAACTACAAATCATATAATACTCTCTTTAACTATCTTTCATTTTATGTCTGCAGATAGAACTCACTATCGGCATTCTCGTGTCAGTGTATGATTTGATTGATGGTCTAACTTACCGTGTCTCTCACAGGGGAACCATTTATTTTATCCATTTCCTAATAAAATAATATTTCTCAAATTGGTACACCTAGCTAGACGTTGTCGGTCTTATGACCAAAAAAAAAAAAAAAAAAAAGCTACACGTTGTCTTAAGTATACTTTACTTTCCTGAAGTATACGTCGAACTATATCTAGCTCTCTCTCTCTCTCTCTCTATTCTTTTTAGAAGCTTTTGGATTCTCCTTTTTTTTTTTCTTCTTTGCATTCTAGCCCCCAGTTCATTTCAAACCATGGAATTTCAGGAAAAAAAATATTTCCATAAAGGCACCCTTCTCCTCCAAATATATTTTGACCCAAATGACTGAATCTTAGAATCTCTCTCTCACTCCTCTCTCACCCATACAGAGAGAAGACAGACAGACTTCAGAGAGATCATATTGGTTATTTTTTCAATGAAGGAAAAGTCAAAAGAATTATAAGGTATGTTGCTGGTACCTTGAGCTTGAATAATCAAAAAGCTTGCCAGTAGCAGAAAAGATGATAACTGCCACCTCAGATTCACACAGAACAGATAGCTCTTTAGCTTTCTTGAAGATCCCTCTCCTCCTCTTTGAGAAGGTCACCTGCCTTGCAGGCAAGTAGTCAATCTTCTTGATCTTGATCTTCTTCCTCATCATCTTCACCATCCCCCCTTCAAAAAAGTTCAAACCAACCACTTTTCACATATATTATGTTCATACACTCAAAAGCTACACAACATTTCCTGGGTTTCTTCTAAATTTTAAACATTTAATGCCCCTCAGATCTAAGTGAAAAAAACCCGTAAAAACCCACCAACCAAAATAGGTCACAAGTTCACAACAACATGCCTAGAGTACCAAAGCACAAAGAAGAAGAAGAAGAAGAAGAAGAAGAAGAGGAGAAAGAGGAAAAACCATTAATAAATTAATTAACTAATTAAAATTCTGGGTTTTCCTCTCTTTGTTTACTGTTTACCTTTTTGGGTTTTGGTGTTTCCAGAAAAACAAAGAGAATGAGAGAGAGAAATGGCTGCTTCTCCTGCTGGCTGACTGTTCAACGAAGGAAGGGATTAAAATGAATTTCAAACTGAATTTTTCCCTTTTATGGACAAACAATTACATACCTTTTTCTATTATTCTCTGTTTTTTGTTTTTTTTTACTTCCGGTATCTTTTGGGAAAACTAGGTAGGAAACCTGAGCAAATCAACGGTGACAGATGCACTTGAAGTTGATAAATGCGATCTCCACCGTTGATTTTGTATCGTGACAGTAGAAAGTGTGGCATCTAATTTACTTTTGTGAATGGTTCTGTCCATATCTAAATTTAGTTTGTTTAAAAAAAATTGTAGGTTTACTTCTTTTTGTTTTTGTTGGAGTGGATTTAATTCTTAGTACTTGTCGGGCTGCAAAAGAAAAAAAGAAGGGAATTTTATTTTTATGTGGAGGAGGATGGCCTTTGAAACAGGTCATGCGCTGTCGTGTCAGCGTCCTTTGCTCAGGCGAGTCGCGACACTTGGCTTTGTCTTTACTCCTCTTTTTTGTATGAATTTAATCCACGCAGACAATGCGATTATACATGGGTTTTTCATTTATGCGAAAACAAAGTTAACAGAATCGGGTCAGCCCTATCTTCAATAAACTAAGCCCTGGCCCTACTCAAAGGGCCAAGCCTATATAGCCTTATCAAATTTGCATCCACGCAATGTGCAATTAATAACATTGCGTAGCCCAAAGACACTTGTACGCACATGCAGTTTGCCAGATTCTAAGCTCAAAGCCCGAATATGCAGTTTGCCAGATTTACCCTTGTATGCACATCTCTCCAATTCTTCTTCGATTGCTTCCGCCATCTGTTCTACATCATATCCTTTTTGTGGTCAATGAGATGTCTTTTTCCCCAATGTTCAGGGCTAAATAAAAAACAAAATTGAACTCATTAAATTGAACAATTATTTCATATACAAGCTCGAGAATGGGGCTCCAATCTACGACCCGCCCACCAAATGAGACCTTAGAATCCTTTAGTAAGGTTGGCCTATGCCGCAACATTGATAACCCAAGCAAATACAAAGTCAACAAGAGTCTCCAAAGCAGGCGCAATATGTTAGGTTGCATAAAATACATAGGTTTAGATACAACACAAAGTTACTTTCCCCTCAATATTTTTCAATCTTGTATCGAGTTAAGACACACCCACAATCACAGATATCTTACAATACCTCGATTTTCTTTATTTATCTTACACACAATCACAACCCTCCACTTCTTAACCAAGGAAATTATAAAAGCCTGAAATTCAGACAAAATAAAAGGTGATAAGCAAATTTGTTAAAAAGGTGAAGAGTAATTGAAATACCATGAATGCAACTGCCCATCAACATCAACATTTGTTGGTGAAGATATTTTTAACTTGTATACGACTTTATGCAGGTTATGTTGTTTTAGTCTAGAGAGAGTGGAATACATTTCCTCCCTGTATGTTTTCAATAGCCCCTTTTGTGTTGATTTTCAATAACAAAAATAATAATAATAAATGTAAAATTTCGATGAACATATAAATATCAAAATATAGCAAAGCAAAAGTAGCCAGCTCACCCCAGTTTGAGAGATAAAGTGACGTCGTCGGAGTCATCTTCAAGAGAGGGACAGGGAGCACTGTTGCAGGTGGTGGAGGTAGCAGATTCAGATGACATGCCTTCTTCTTCTCCTCCACCTCCAATATTATTATTCAACCTCTCCGGCTCCATAAGCGCAGGTCCAATATTTCTTCTGGATAACATCTGCTATGCAAAAAACATACAAAATTAAGAAAAGAATCACCCATTTTTTTCATTTAAAAACAAACAGAAAGGAGAATCCTGAAGAAATATGTACATGATTGTGGTAGTTGCTTACCCTCTGCCTTAGCTGTTTGTTGGCTTCTACAAGCTCAGATCTCTGAAATTTTAGTCGGTGCATGGAAGAAAAAAACCAGAGCCAAACTTGGTTATGATTATTGATGTTAATTTATATATTTTAAAAAAATCCTGATTATTGTAAATAGTTGAAATTTGTTTTTCATTTACAGAGTACGTATTAATCGTCTAACCTTTCTTTCAAGTGCCATAATCTCACTCATAATCAGTTCGTCCTGAAAGAACATTTGCAACGGTTTCGATCATTAAACCATTTAACTAACTTTCTACAACGGTTTCGATCATTAAACCATTTAACTAACTTTCTACAACGGTTTCGATCATTAAGGGCTTGTTTACGAGTGATTCTGGATAGGTCAATAATCACTTTTATGGATAAGCACATGGAAGATGTTTTTTCCCAGAAGTGATTCTGGCTCATCCAGAATCAAATCCAAAATGAGCCCTAAACCACAATACAGAGTGATGCCTTCGCACCATGCTTACTATAAAAGAAATTAGCTAGGGCAGACCTTAGTTTCAATCACACGGCCAAGGCTTGCATCCACCAGTTGTTCTAACTTCTGCAACTCATCAAAATTCAGCTCTTCAAGATCCTCTCCTTTCATCTGCCTGTTGCAAGCCAGTCCAATTTCAGCAGATACATCAAACGATATAATACCAGCTAAACAGCCAAATATATCTTACAAATTATTACCTCAGCTGGCGGCTCTTCTCCCCTAGCTCCTTGCTCAATCTGATGTGGTTTTCATTCTCTGGCTAAAATGAGAAATGGAACCGTCATTTAGGTAATCTAATCTGTCTCTGTTACATGAAAAGCTTATAAACATCAGCCCAGAAAAGGAAACAATGAAACAACTTAAACATTCGATTTCTTTATTTTGAAAATGGAATCAAATGAATTACTTAAACATACAAGAATATGGATTTACAATTTGTCCTAGTCATTAATACCTTAGAAAAACTTAGAGATCTAATTAATAGCAACAAACCCAACTTGCAGAGCAATTCAAAATTAGATTAAGGGAAATGGAAAAAGAACTTGTACTGATTAAGATGGCACGATAAAATCAGAATGTCCTCGATAAGCCACTCGAGTCATAGCATAATATATTGTTTGGGCAAAACTTCAACATATTTTTACTACCTAACCAACCGCTACTTGAGCACCAAAACACAATCTCTAGCCGGAAAGAAACTTATTTCTTAGGGCTAACGACATTTTACTCCATCGAGGTTTAGCTAGCGGCTCTTCTCCTCAAGCTCCTTGGTCAATCTGATGTGGTTCTCAATTTCTAGCTAAAATGAGAAATGGAACCATCATTTAGGTAATCTAATCTGTCTGTCACATGAAAAGCTTATAAAAAATGGATTACAATTTTTTTATTTTGAAAATGGAATCAAATTAATTACTTAAACATACAAGAACATAAGCCTCAAATGCAACCAACAAAGTGAGAGTTTGTCACCAATAATTAAAAATTAAAAGAATTTACTATCTTCCATGTGTATAATTAAAAATTAAAAAAACAATTGGAAAACAACTAACAGTAAAAGTAAAAAATAAAAATCTGATTGACTGATAGTTGATGTCTATGTTCCAATTTTTTCATTGGCTAATTCTTATGTAGACCAAATTAAGTCCCACTAGAAATGGACTTATCAAATCCACCTACATATATTTATCCCAAGAGGCCCACCTGCTGCATGTATATATACATATGTTTAAGGGTCTGTTTGGGAGTGTTTTTAGAAGGGCTAAAAGTGTACTTTTCTTGAAAGCACTTTTTTTAATGAAAATTTCAAAATCTTCATAATAACAGCACTTTTGCTAGAAGTGCTTATGAACGGAAGTACATCTTAAAGAAGCAGTCTCAAACAAACCCTAATGTAATGAAAAAAATAGTTTTTTTTTGTCTTATGTTCAAACAATCAGAACCTTCATATGCATAGAAATACATTTTGAAGGTCCAAAGTGCAGTTCACAGAATATGTTACAATTAATTGCATAACAATTTAAAGGGGGGAAATGGAAGGACACTACTTTCCTCCTTACCCATAAGGAGGAACTCTTGCTTTCCATTGTGACTCAATCACAAAGTGATATGTGTCCTCTCCTTTTTAATTAAAAGTGAAGAAAAAAAAAACAGTTTTGACAATTAAAAAGGAGAGGACACTTGTCACTTTGTAGTTGAGCCACAATAGAAGGTAAAAGGAGTTCCTCCTTAAGGAGGGAAGTATTGTCCGAAATGGAAAAGGTAAACCATTGAACTCATTTACCTGCAACTCAACAGACGGTTCGTCAGATTTTTCAGCACCATTTATGTGCGCTTTATACCTTTCAATAACATCCTTGGTACTTCACAACACAAAAGGAAAACACAATCAATTGGCATGTTCACTAGTGTAAGTTAGTAGACATAGAAGATCAAATTAATACATGTAACAAAGCAAACATGAGAAACAAAAAAATGGAAAATAATTAACCCCTTATGAAAAATTCTGGTTTGCAAACACAAAGACACACTTGTGTCTGTTTTCTTTTGTATTGTATGGTATGCTTCCTTTTAAGAAGCACTATTTCAATAATCTGTAATTTTTTAATACTAAAATTCTCTACATTCGCTCACTGAGAGCAAATATAATGAATGCCTTGCCTATTTCACTAGAAGTTATTACAAAAAATTACGTCAACAGTGACAGTGAAAAACAGAGGAACTAATTTACCCAAGGAAAAAATAATATGACCCCCATCATCAACCAAGATTTCATTCCATCATCACAAGTAAGATATTTAAGATTTTGAAATCAAATTAACACGTTTATTTTGAGATGTGGTCGTGTTGCAAGTAAATTCAGCCAAAAGGCCCAAAACTGATGCACAATGAGAACGTACGTTAAGCTACTTGCTGGCTGGCTGCATGGTTTGGTTACGCAAATCAAAACGTCAAGTAAAATTCCTCTCACATCAACTCGATCTGGACCTCATTGAATATGCTTTGAATCTTGTTATCTTTGGTTCGCCTCCTTTTTAGTCAGTGGATGGCTGAATCTATGTAGGCCGTATATGCCAAACGTATTGAAAAATATCCAGGCTGGCTGGCTGCATGGTTTGGTTACGCAAATCAAAACGTCAAGTAAAATTCCTCTCACATCAACTCGATCTGGACCTCATTGCAATATGCTTTGAATCTTGTCATCTTTGGTTCGCCTCCTTTTTAGTCAGTGGATGGCTGAATCTATGTAGGCCGTATATGCCAAACGTATTGAAAAATATCCAGGGTCAACCGTCAAATGCATTTGCACCCTTGTGATATGACGCCAGTAATACTAGAGATAATGTGTTCTAAAAACTAACAAAAATAACCGTATGATTACAAACTGTTACACCATTCAAGCTAATCACAATTCTTCGCCTACTTGAATGCAAATTTGAAGCCACTTGCGCTATTCTCATCTCTCCTTATAGCAACTAAGTTAGAGTTAGTAAATAAGTTAGGGTTAGACAGATAAAAGGAATTACTAGCATAATAATTCGTAACTTTCTGATATGTATCAAGTCCAACTTTGGCTACACAAGACTCATTCTAATGGACATGTTAGGAGAAAACCGATACTTCGAGAAGGCTAACCACTCATTCTTAAAACCAAACATTCTTAGGATCCAAGTGTGTCAAGTGGAGGAGGAAAAGTCGTATGTTTATGGTTCTTAGGCCTATAAGTAGTTGTTTAGTAAACTATTATGCGGTTTGTCAACCGAACCTTGACAAAAGCAAACGTTGTGCGCTCTTGTAAGACTTATGAGCCCTGAATGATTCAAGGCAAGAATGTGTAAGATCAGTGAGCAATCCCTCATCGCTCAAGGAGGGCCTAGGCCCAAAGCGGCCAATATCTTGCTAGTGAAGCAAGGTCATGACAGAATGATATCAGAGCTGAACCCTGACTGAAAGTGTACCAATGAGGACGTTGAACCCCAAGAGGGGTGGATTGTAAGACTTGTGATCCATGAAGGATACAAGGCAAGAAGGGAAAGATCAGTGAGCAATCTCACATTCCTCGGGGATGGAAAATTGAAGTGCCATATATGTGTGGGCACTTGACTTCCTAGCAAGATGTCTTTTGGGCAAAATAGCATAAGTTTGAGTACATTAACAAAAACGTGATTGCCCAAACCCAAAGCGGACGATATCTTACTAGTGAAGTTGGGTCATGACAACTCTCTAGTGGTTTTAGAGAAAAACGCCCTTAAAAAAACCCTACAACCTAAGTTTACATCCCGGACTATTTAGACGGATGCAATGGAAGTGGTGAAACCTACTAAAATGGGAAGAGGAATGATAAACTTAGTGGAAGTGGCTAAGGACGCTTAGCACGTTAATATATACAATTTGATGTAAGTAAGAAAAGACAACATATGCTATATCTTGTGTTAAGATGTCCTCGCATATCAAGCCCTTAGAGTTTCAAACACACAAATACAAATATAACATCTCGGAATTTAACTATATAACGAATCATATTTGTTTTAGCATCATAGTTTTTTCGATGACTTTCGGCACATTATATATTTCGAAAACTTAGTATAACAGAACCAAGTAGAGCAATACTTTTCCAAAACTTTTTAATATTGCTCTACTTGGAAACTTGGAAAGTTTGAAAATAATTTAAAGTAAAATCTAAGGCTAAAGAACAACACTTTTATTCTTCTTTAGTTTTAATTGTATGTTGATTTCAGTAAAATCGTTTTTATAGTTTTTGTTTTTGCTTCAAAAAATAGAAAATAAAAAAAGTAAACAAACTAGTAGCTTCTCGAAACCAAGAAAATTAACTTTGAAATGAAATTTTCAATGGAATTTGATTAGAAATTTCATAATGACAAATGATTAGACCTCCACTTGTATATAAAAAGAGGCCATTAGTACGCGTGTTTTGTTTTCCTTGTCATTTAATTTTGTTCTTAATTTGCATTTTCAGAATGTACTTCGAGAAAAGTAAAATATGACAACATTAGAGGTGGTATTTCTAGTTTTTTTTGTTTTTTGTTTTTAAAAAAAAAACATAAATGATCAGCCCATCCTCCCTTTTTTAACTTCCTCTCATCTCACGCATGCACATATAATTATTTTTGTTGACTGAAAGCAAAGCAAGACGATATTTAAATTCTTATTCCATAGTTAACATTTCATACTCACCCTCCTCCCTCTTTTTCCTTCCTCAAATGCATGCATTCATGGCAAAAACATGTAATGGTCATAGCTCCACCACCCATTGCCCTACTTGAGAACATGGATATGCATATTCCTGCTGAAAGTCTTCAAGGCTTTATTATGAATTCCTAGTAAGAAAACTACAAATCATATAATTCAACGTTTGTGACCACATTTAGGTGAGGAGATAGAAAGGACGCCTTTTCAAACACAACACCCCCCCTCTATCTTAAGTTTGAAGGATTATATAATATTTATTAAAGAATATTATATATCATTTTATATGGTCAAACTATGAATCTAGTATAAAGTTCGTCGTTTGTGGGAATCGATAATCTAACATATTGTGTCTAACATTCTTATTTGAGTGTACGATTGAATTGATATTCTAACATACTGTGTCTCTCACGAGGAAACCGTTAGTTTTAACTCCTTTGACGTGGACAAAGATATTCTTCATTATATAAGCCTCACCCAATATTTTATATATGATGAGATTGAAGCAGCAAGGATGAAAACATGGAAAACTAATAAAATAATGTTTTCATAGAAGTTGTCTTAATCAAAAGTATACTTTACTTTCCTTAAGTATATATAAGGTAGGTAGTAATCGTCGAACTAGTTCCTTTGAAATACAGTACAACTATCTAGCTCCCTCTCTCTCTCTCTCTCTCTCCTTTTTAGAAGCTTTCGGATTCTGCATTGTTTTTTTCTTTACATGGATTTTCAACCAAAAAACAAACCATGGAATTTCAGGAAAGAACCAGTATTTCCATAAAGGCACTCTTCTCCTCCACCCTTCTCTCCCTCTCTCACTTACACAGAGAGAAGTCTAGTCAGAGTACAGAGACATCAAGATTCATGATCATACCTAACTGGTTATTTTTTCAAGGAAGGAAAAGTCAAAGAAGTGTTGCTGGTACCTTGAGCTTGAATAATCAAAAAGCTTGCCAGTAGCAGAAAAGATGATAACTGCCACCTCAGATTCACACAGAACAGATAACTCTGCAGCTTTCTTGAAGATCCCTCTCCTCCTCTTTGAGAAGGTCACTTGCCTTGCAGGCAAGTTGTCAATCTTCTTGATCTTGATCTTCTCCCTCATCATTTTCATCGTCCCCTTCAAAAAAATTCAAACCAACCACTTTTCACATATATTATGTTCATACACTCAAAAACTACAAATGATTTTCTGGGTTTCTTGTAAATTTTAAAGATTTAATGGCCCCCAGATCTAAGTGAATAAAACCCAGAAAAACCCACCAACCAAAATAGGTAACAAGTTCACAACAACATGCCTAGAGAGTACCAGAGCACAAAGAAGAAGAAGAGAAAGAGGGAAAACCATTAATTAATCAACTAATTAAATTCTGGGTTTCCTCTCTTTGTTTAATGTTTACCTTTGTCGGGTTTCAGGGTCTGAAGCCTAAGAGAATGAGAGAGAGGGAGAGTTGGCTGCTGCTGCTGCTGGCTAGCTGTTCGAGAAAGGGAAGATTTCAAAGGCAATTTTCCATTTTATGGAAAGAAAAAAAATCTATTTTTCGATTAATTTGATCTCCACCGTTGATTTTGTAACGTGACAGTAGAAAATGTGGCATCTTACTTTTGTGAATGGTTTTGTCCATATCTAAGTTTAATATCTTTATAAAAAATAAATAAATAAAATTTGTGCTTTTATGTGGAGGAGGATGGTCCTTGATACTGGTGATGCGCTGTCGTCTCACTTGATTGAACTCACCATGCGACACTTCTTCGGTTGCTCCCACAGTCCACGTCGGGTTCAATTCTCACGTGCCTATTTTATCATTTTTGGTCTATGTGGTTTATCATTTTTACCATTAAAATTTCTGTGTTTTCAATTTAATTATTTTTACCTTTGTGATTTTCAATTTAAGCAATTCAAGTTCAATCAGGTTACTTGTTGAGGGGCATTTAAATCTAAGAACAAGAAAGATTTTTTCTTTTCTAAAAAGAAGAAAAATATAAGGGGAAGAGAAGCCATCAGCCAAACCCACCCTCACCAGCCCACCCGCCAACCACCACACACACCCCAATCTCCCCAACCCAGTAAACTCCACCACCTAGATCTTGATGAACTTGGCTGCTATTCGAAGGTCTCGGAGCCGCCAGGGAAGTTGGAGACTGCTATTTGGCACTGGACTTCTTCTATTTCGTTGTCGTTCTGATCCTGCTCTTCAATTTGTTGGTGGGGCTGTGATGGGTTCGTCTCTTTTTCTTTGATTACGTTATGAAGCTTCTGACTTTTTGACATGAGAGAAAACTGAGGGCACTTCAATCGGTGCCTTTCGTATTCATTTGCCATTTATTTGTTGTTTTGTATTCATCCAGTTTTGTTGGCTTGGTTACATGATTATAACATCTCTTTTCAATCTATTCAGTGCAAAAGAGCTTTTTGATGTATGGGATGGGAGACATGTGATTTGTACAAACATGAGACTCGGGCGAGAAAAAGCCATGGATATATGACCCATATGGATTGTTTTGCTATTGTTGTTGTGATATTCTCTGAGGAACAAACAATTCATCAAAGAGGTTTTTTTTTTGGGTCAACCAAGAGAAAGAAAGAGTACTGAAAGAGAAACGAGAGATTGGAATCCATAAAAAGAAAAACGAGATGGGAGAGAGATGGCGATGATGGAGTTGTATCGAGTTAAGGAGATGGCGTAGAGTGTGGTGGTTGACGTGTGGGCTGGTTGTGTGGCTGACGGCTTCTCTTCCCCTATCTTTTGCCTTCTTTTTTTCTTTTCTCTTTCTTGTTTTTGGACTTAAATGCCCTTCAACAAGTAACAGCAGTTAACCTAATTTGATAGAAATTGGAGAGTGGACTTGGATTGCTTAAATTGAAAACCACAGGGGCAAAAATGATCAAGTTGAAACCACAAGGACCTTAGTGGTAAAAATGATAAACCACAGGAACCAAAAGTGACGTTTTGCCTTATATGTACACTTCCTGCCCCCTCCTTATCCTTTTGACATCTGTCATCTCTCCTTAACTAAATGCTAACTCTATTAATTTATCCTTCATCTTCCTATGTGATGTAGAACTGATGGTCAGAGCGATCGAGGAAGAGCAAGAGCGTTGCACGCATAAAGGCAAAGCTGGAAAACTGCAAATTTGGGTCTCGAGTTCGAAACTAAGCCCATGATTCGTCGTTTCAAAGAGAACGACGTCACGAGTAAAACTCATCGCTTTTCCATGACGTATGGTACATTTGCGGGAGGTTTTACAAGTTTTGCAATAGAACAAGTTGTATGTTAACTTGAAAAAGTGCACTTTCCTCACCAATAAGTTGCTTTTTCTAGGTTATGTTGTTAGTGCATATGGCATTTATGTGGATGAAGACAAGGTACGAGCTATCCATGACTGGCCTACCTTGAAAACAGTTAACGACGTGTGAAGTTTTCATGGCCTTGTAATGTTTTATAGGAGATTTGTCAGAAATTTCAGCATTATTACTGCACCTATCACTAAATGTCTGAAGCATGGAAACTTTAATTGGGGAGAGGAGCAAGAGCAGAGCAGAGCTTTACCCAAATTAAAGAAAAGCTGAGCACCGCCCCATTCTAGCCCTTCCGAACTTTGAGAAGTTATTCAAGGTTGAATGTGATGTGAGTGTAGGTGTGGGAGCTGTTTTCTACTAAGAGAATATATTGGTTGCATTTTTTTCCTTAAGAAAAACTTAGTGAAGCACGCTAAAAATGGAGCACTTATGATTGAGGGTTTATTTTTATGTTGTGGTTCGATCTTTGAAGCAGTGGGAGCATTATTTAGTGCAACGAAAATTTGTGCTTTACATTGATCACCAAGCCCTGAAATTTATTAATAACCAGAAAAGTGTCAATAAGATGCATGTCATGTTGGCCACTTTTCTACTGAAATTTCTATTTGTAATTAAGCATAAGTCTTGAATTCTTAATCGTGTAGTAGCTGCATTGAGTGAGCGAGCAACCTTGCTCGTTTCTTTGGCTCAAGAAATTATGGGTTTTGAATTTCTTGAAGGACTTTATAAGGCTGACGAAGATTTTCAATAAATTTGGGCTAAGTGTGTTCGCAAACAGTCGATGGAAAATTATCATATTAATGAGAGATTTTTATTTCAAGGCAACTGTTTGTGCATCCTATTTCCTCTTTAAGGGAGAAACTTATTCGAGAATTGCATGGGGGTGGACTGAGTGGCCACTTAGGTCGACAAAATACCATTGCCAACATGGAGGAGCAATAGGCTTTGTTTTTTATACAAACGATATTCTACTTTATTCTAATCTAAACTACTTGGAGGGCGATTCGAACTCGGATGCAGAGTGGGAAGCACATCCACTCTAGCCAATTTCTCGATAGACTCGGTATAAGTGACTTCCTCTACCAGATGCTTGAAACTATGTCATCCGCTCCTAATAAATATGTAATTAATTGTGAATCCCTTTCATGAGTGTGCAAACTGTGCTTGAGGGTAATTTTGTCCAATGATCTTTGATTTTGCCCACTTTTATTTTTGACTGGTGAAATCACACATCATCTGAATTCATAGATTTGGAATCTCTCAATCTAAATGGATTCTAACTTGTTTTTAAAGATATTAAGTTTCTAGTTTCCTTTATTGTCTTGCATGCATTTTCACAGTAATCAACAAAATCATCACCATTGTTTGTACAATATCTGGCCAAGCACTCCCCATACACTCCCAAGCCAAAGGGAAGGGAGTCCCACATCGACAAAACACAAGAGGAGGGGACTCTCCCTTCTTTATAAAAGGAGACCTCTCCCATTCAAGAGAGGGGATGGGGAGTTTGGGCAGGCTACTGGGGCCTCATGGGCTTACCCATGAGCCCACTTAAAAACCCACGGATCATACCAGATCCTCAGCCTTCGGCCTCCAGCCTTCGGCATCTGTCTTCGGCCTTCGGTATTCTTCCTCTTCTCCTTGAGTCTAAACCTATGTGCAATGTATACTCACATTATCGTAATGAGAACATACTTCTCCGTGGACGTAGCCCATTATTCGGGTGAACCACGTACATTTGTCTTATGTATGCATGTTTACCTGCTTACCGAATCCTTTCACATACCGAGGGTCCTCACCTTCAACATTCACCTCATCTTTAAGTTGGTCTATTTACTACCTGTCTAGTTTTACCATCAACAACCATAATCAAGAGCGGAGCCACCGAGGGACAAGTGTGATCTCAGGCCCCAACACCTTTTTTTATTTGGGTAAATACCATAAGGTGTCCCCACAAGGTTGTGATTAATCCCCGCTCAGGGTTCGACTTGCCCCTCGCCACAAAGTGCTTCAAACGGGTTTCGAACCCCTGCTATTGAGGCACTAGGTAGCTCGCCAGTTGGAGGTTGCAGTTTGCCAACCGCACCACACCTTGTGCTTCCCCACACCTTTTTTTTATTTTTACAGTCTTTACTTTTATATATATTAATATATTTTGTGATACCTTTAATATTTCAATAATCTCATTTTCATGCCGACCAATTTTCTTAAATATACTATACGAATAATAATAATAATAATGATTATTATTATTTGAACACAAATCCTTAAAAATCTAAGTATTTTTCACATATTTCTCTCTTTCTTCGGTGGACACGTCAGACTTCCTCCTTGCGCTTATAACTATGGTTGTGACTTTTGTTTATTCTCTTATTATCCATATAATATATTATCAAGTTTCAATTGAGTTAACTCACTTAATTTTTTGGGTGCATTTTTGCTCACCACTTTAACTATATGTGTACCCTCACCACCATCCTCAATACTTGACACGTGTCCATAGACATAACCATAGTTAACTTTTGCTTTGTATTTATGGAATCATGATTATACTTATGGACACGTGTCAAGCATTGAGGATGGTGGTGAGGATACACCTATAGTTAAAGTGGTGAGCAAAAATGCTCCCTAATTTTTTTGGATGAATCCAGGGTATCCCCTACACGTAGGCAATGACTAATCTCTTAAGCCGAGTCGGACCCCATTTGGGGGCAACTCACTTAATTAAAGTTTGTTAAATTTCTCCTTTTTTATATAATTATATTCTCTCCTCCTATGGTTTGTGTGGGTTTGTGAATTTTTTTATATTGTGTTATATATATCTCCACCCATGGTTTGTTTGGGTATTATTGAGTTTAAAGGGTCTGTCAATTTACGTGTAGATTACTAAAAGAATTTTTTTTTAAATATTTTTTTACATGTGTAATATATTTGATTTTTTTATCCTCTTGATTACTTTGACATGTATTGACAGATTTTTTCAATAAAAACTTTCTTTTAATTTTTCACATTGAAAGAAAAATGAACTTAGATAACTAAATCGGATGTAAGATTGTGTAAACAAAGTTAGTATTTGATCATAAAGAATGAGTGGTCATGCGACCATATGAAATCAACCATGCCTCCACATTAATAATGAAAAAAGTTACAACAAAAACTTGATCTATATAATTTGTTGTGGATGGAACACATATTAATAACGTCCAAACCACATATTAGATGGATTGGTGACGTTGCAATGCTCAAAATCTTCCATGTTGACTCTAGCAAAGGTTAGTTGATCCTTTTCTATCATAGAAATCTCACACACACACAAAATCATTATACAAGTAAGGAGAGGGAATGATAGCAAAGGTTAGTTGCTGCTTATTATTGAAACCAAAATCACAATTGGAACTCATAAGAGGAATTAGGGTTTAATTTGTCGGGGATTGCGATGACTTTGAAGGAAGATGGTGGGACATAACATGACCATTGCTTCAATATTTGAGTTGAAAGTGAAGTAGATGAACTGGTGGTGGTGCCAATATTCGAGTTGAATGACCAGAATGTAAATCTACTATAAGTTCAAGGATTATTGCTCCTAAAAACTAAAATTACCATTTGCTTCTAAATTTAAGATATGAAGGTGTGATCATGGGCGGAACCATGAATTTTTCAACGGATGGGCTAACTAAAGTTATTAGCTTAAAATTTAATGATTATTTTTGTTGGTTCTTACAATTTCTATAAATAAAAGTAAACATTAAATCATATAAACCATGCTAGTTCATAACTCCATAGACTAATTTTCAATAAGTTTTAACATAAACCAAATAGGGTTTAACACCCCAGTGGATTGAACATCTAAGACTTTTTACCTATATTGACCTTAGGTTCCTTCATACATTCATATCATACATGAAAAATTATTTTATGTAAAAATATTGACTAAGTATGAAAAATGGGTTTTCGGAATAATCATTTTCTCAAGATAATTTTTGGCGGCTTTTATTTCTCACACATCAAATAAAAAAAAACTTTATTTTATGGGATTTTAGTATAAAGTATATATTGACTTAATGAGCCATCATTTTTAGCCTAAATCGTATTTTGCACTAAAACCAATTTTTCATAATTTGATTTGGTGTGAATTTGATTTTCTAGTATTTTTGTTTGAATCCAAATGGGGGGTACTTCCTTATTTACATTGTAAACTTAAGTAAATTGAGTAATATAAAAATAAATAAAAGTAAAATTACAAAGACATTTACTTAAGTGTTGAAAATGGAAATAAGATAATCTGTACACCGCCACTAACTAAGCTAATATTGAAAATAAGTTAAATATATAGATTTTTTTCTTGGAAATGGTACACAGCCCAGTGTAGTTCTTGGTGTGGTTCCGCCCTTGGATGTGACATAGAAAGTGAAGTTGATATTGATTTACTACAGTAATTTCCCTTTCCGATAATTTTGGTAGAATAAAAAAAGAGGTATAAAAAAAGAGGTATGTGAGATTTGACACCAAAAAAAAAACGTATATGAGAAGATTTTTCAAAAAATTTCCCAATGAAATCTCTTAGCACGCTTGGGCACTTGGTTTTGCGCCATTCCAAATTTCCGATTCCGATTCGAAAACCGTGCGAAGGGTCAAGGCGATGCTCATTAAAATGACCAAAACAACCCCGAACAAAAATAAGATCACCTCTGAAGCACTCTGCAATTAAAAGCAAAATCAAGCCCCAATAAATATCCTCGAAGGAAAAAAAAAAAAAAAAAAAAAGAGACTGAAAGTGAAAGAGGAACTTTTCGATTTCAATTTCCATTTTGGATTTCGACATTTTTGGTTTTCCCAGTAAACCAGAACAGCAAACGCCATCGGCCATCCAAATCCATGGATCCAAACAGAGTGGAAGCCGAGCGCTTGATCGGAATCGCCGAGAAGCTTCTACACAGCCGAGATCTGAGCAGCTGCCGCGACTTCGCAATTCTGGCGCAAGAGACCGAACCGCTATTGGAAGGCTCAGATCAGATCTTGGCCGTTGCCGACGTGCTCTTGGCCGCCGACAAGCGCGTAAACAACCACCACGACTGGTACGCCGTTCTCCAGGTCGATCGCCGGTCCGAAGATCAGGATCTCATCAAGAGGTCATATCGACGGCTGGCGTTGCTCCTCCACCCGGACAAGAACAAGTACGCTTATGCCGAGCACGCGTTCAAGCTTGTCGCCGATGCATGGGCCGTTTTGTCCGACCCGACTCGGAAGCCGATTTACGACAACGAGTTGGGCCCGTTCAGCCGAGTCGATCTCAGCGCGCCGAATTCGAACAAATTGCCTGTACGGCGAGTCAATCGGGGCCGAAACGACGCCGATTTGACAAACGACGGTGAGCATCATCAGCAGCAGAGGTCGAGAT